TGGTCAATCCAAGTGTTTATGAATTTGGCTTAAAAATTTTACTTTAATATTTGGATGGTCAGATCGTAGTGTTTATGAATTCGGGTTATATTAATTTGTAAAATACTTACCTACTTATTCTAAAGTGGATTCGAAAATTTCGGTTTGAAGTAATGCCCTAAATAGCTCTTTTGCTTGAGAGAGCAACTGCGAAGTGTGCTCCCATGGGATCACCTCCTATGCACTCCAATGTATATATACAAGTATGTGCTCGTTAAAATTTGTCTTGAATCTCTATAATTCAAGGATTGTTTCCTTAATTTTAGGCTCTCCTATTTCTTGGTTTGCCTAGTTTGGGAATTGTGATTAACCAACTTATTATTATTTAAGAGTTAATTTTGAGGTCGTCTTTGAAGTTATTATGAACTTGTAGACCCAAATTAAGAAAATGTTAAGTTTCAAATAAGGAGAGGCCCTAGTGTACCTATTTTTCTGTTTTGCACTTTTCTTTATAATAGAGAGCGGAAACCATGAGCACAAAAAGAGAAAAGTTGAGAGAGGAGATTGAGTTTGCTAAGTGCCATCTTATTTTTATAAAAAGGTCGTAATCTGGTGTTGGTCCTACCTACATTGGGTCCCGAAAGGGGTGAGCTTGAAACATCCTACCCTTTGATTTTTTATGGATAAAGTGGCCGCTCTCAAGATTTGAACGCACGTTCTTGTGCTGGCTGCCTGAGCCTTTTACCTTCCTTCACACCAAGTGACAACTCCTTTTGGCTTATTTTCATAGACTCCTAAAATGGTCCCATCTAACATTGCTCATTCAAATTTTCACCCATACTATTTGCAATATTTCCATGTTTATATTTTGCCCTGGGCCACTTAGATTCGTTTCCTAAATTTAATACAAAGAGAGATAAAATTAGCCATGTTTTAAATAAAGGAAGTGATGCTGATTCCACAATCCGAGTGGGACTGTTGATACCGAGATTCAAGAATCACCTCCTATAAAAAAAATTTAGAGAAAATTATGTATATATCCGCTATAATTTTCGTTATTACCAAAATACCAAATAGTTTTCGTTATTACTGGAATGTCTGTTTTTTTTACTTCATAACAAATATTAAAAAAAAAAACTTTTGTACTCTTTTTTGGTTTTTGAACAACCTAAAATAGGCAGAAGCTTGGAATTTTGATTTTTATTTTTGGTTGTTGAACAACCAAAAATATGACTGACTATTCCAGAAGCTTGTTGGAATATGCAGACTTATTTTCGGTTGTTCGACCCCAGCCGAAAATAGGACATTTTCATATATTGAACAACCGAAAATATGATAGAAGCTTGGAATCTACCTTCTTATTTTCGGTTGTTCAACAACCAAAAATAGAATATTTTCGGATGTTGAACAACGAAAATAGAACTGCGTATTCCATAAGCTTAAACGAGACCCGTTATTTTCGGTTATTCAAGAACCGAAATTAGCGTATTTTTAGTTTTTGAACAACCGAAAATTCAGCAGTTGTTAAAAAATTGAAAAACGGCAAAAAAATCTTTTTTAAAAAATTTCATTATGAAGTGAAAAAAACTGACATTATAGTAATAACGGAAACTATTCGATACTTTGGTAATGTAACACACTAATTTTCCCAAAAACTTATGATGAGAAAAACAAAAGTTGAAACTTAGAAAGCCGCCAAGTTTGAGCTGTTCATTGTAATGAATCATGCCGTTCTGGGTAACTTGGATTTCATAGCTCTGTTCTCCAATCCGGGCGTTAGAATTTCAAAAGAGAGTGTGTGTGAGTGTGCATTCAAATTTGTCAGGCCGCTTTTCGGGATCACGAAAAATAGTGAGGGAGCATTTAAAGCCCCCCACTTTTCTGTTTTCTCCCACCAAGCATCAGTTCCAAGCCAACAACAAAAGGAAACTGACACCTTAATACGCAACAAAAACCACATCTCACTAATGCAAGAACTAGACTTAATGAGAGAATAAAAAAACTTGATTGGCAAAAGTAATGCCAAAGAACTTGATTGACTGCCGATTCACATGGTGACATGAGGAAATCCAGTAGAATATTGAAGAATTTAATGACATATAGAAGGAAATTAAAAGACAGCTCTTGATAGACATACAACTGACAGACATGGGAAAATCATAATAGAAGAGCCATATTAGACATCCGAATCCAAATGATTGACTATCTGAGAAGAGTGTGAATTATACAGAAGATCTGAATGTCAGATTAATTAGTGGAATGCAGGAATACATACAAAACGTGAAGGGTGATAACGGAAGAATCATATTCAGAAAGTAAATGAGAAAAGATAAAAACTCATCGTGTGCAATCTAATTTGAATCATAATTGGATATGATTGAATTGTATGAAAGTACCAAATGGATAAGATAACCACTATCAATGTCAGACTACAAGTTAATTTCTTAGAGATACAAAAGCATGGTTTTGAGTAGCAACAGGATTTAAGAATACAGTTCTTTTTTTCAGATTACAATTTATATCCCTAAAATCTGAAAGCTTAATTTGATGCTTCTCAATATACTTTGAAAAATTCATTAAGAAAATTCATGCAATGCCCTTGTTACAGTATGTTTAGACCTCTAAACTCTATTGAACATACTGCAATATGCATATTTAAAAAGAGTACAAGAAGACAAATGCATGAGCATTGGTGTTGCTACACATCCTAAGATGCCGAAAACCTTTGAGACACCCATTTTCAAATAAACAGTCGGCCACTAATTTGTATCATGGATAGATCAAAACCAAAGGCTGTGCAAGCAAATGCAGTATCTCTATGGAGCTTTTAGCAAGTCTCCAAGGAGAAGGACCTTTTCCCATGGAGCAACCACATAGCAAGTCCACGGCATATAACACGCGAACTGAAGAAGCTACACAGAATGAATTCGACGCCGAATAGAAGGGCGTGGATTTCTGATCACATCAAATTTTCCAAAAAGCTAAGAGAGCTGGAGTAAAACAAGCCAGTCTGATGTTCTTGTACACACACTATTTGCAGTTTGACAACATGACTCTTTTAATCAAGCAAGCCCTTCCTCTACTAGTTAAACCATGGGGAAGAATAATCACATTTATTAACAGAACTTAAATATGCAGCATCTTCAGTTTTCCAGACATGGTTTCTATGTGTCCACCCAATCACCTCGATCAGTGGAAACAATCTTGCATAGTCCTTTCAAGTTTACCTGAGATTCCAGTTATTTCTTCCTTCCATGCATATCATGGTTTGCTCACAAGTCCAAAATGGAAATGTTGTTCGAGCTTTCATATGAATGTTTGAACCAAATTATAAAGGTATCATGACCATAACAAGCAATCTGGAGAAGAATCATTCCTTTCAAACTTCAAGCAGAACAAGAAAGAGTCCATTATTTCTTCCTCACAACAAAAGGTATATATTTTTCATGGAAATCAATGAGGCTAAAATCGATCATTTAGAAGTTTATCTTCACTTGTCAACCAATTCAAAACACCTGGGTAGGGCTCCATTCCTCACATTCTCACAAGAATTTCCGGATCTTCATTTTCACTCTAATACGAATCTGAACAAACAAAAGAAGAGCAAAAAAAATCTGAAATTTTGATTAAAAACTTGAAAGGAGAAGCTCACATTCCAAGGTTCATAGTGAACCCTGGTTTAACCGGGACCCTCGACCAGTAATTCTCAACTCTTAATTAAACCGTTCTAATGACCCTGATTTATAGATTAAACTTTACTTTGTTGCAAAAGAAATCCTGATTCTAATGTAAAATGAATTCCAATTTAAATTACAAAGGGCATGACAATTTTACTCTTGATGAAATTAAAAATTTCATAATAACCCCAACCACTTTCCCAATCTGCAAACAACAACTTAGGACAGTCATAACTTTTCACTTTTATATTGAAATCACTATTATAACACCATTTTCGAAAGCAACAACTTAAGGCCTACGATGCTGTAACCAGCTCTGCAAATTTTGAATAGCAAACTACGCTAAAAAACGACCCTAAAGGCCTCAACATCGGTCTTAAAATTTGCTGTGCAAAAGACGTTTATGTCACCTAGATGCTTCAGTCAGATTTCTGTATATAGTTTATGAAATATATTCTCAAATATAATCCCTACGGGGGACTAGACTACTGGCAATAGATTTTTCTTTAACTGATTCTTCACTCAATTCCCAAAAACAGCTTATCATTACAAGATTCTTCTCACCTTTTCCTCCAAGGATATGACAATTGGACTTATAATTTGAAGGGACATTTTTTAGACATACCAGTCAGACGGATTTTTCCACAAGTAACATGTTGATTAGAGCACAGGTTATAGTAGAACTAATCAACCAAGTATGCTCTGGATCTGATCTGAACTGGTCTGGATTCGTATTTAGATCCCATATATACTCGGAATCCGGATCAGTGCATCCGGACCTGATCCAATCCATTCTCAGCCCTATCTTTCACTATTTAATTTTTAAACTATCTTCTAATGTAGGACAGGTTCTTGGGAACAGAAAGGCCTCTAAGGCCTGGTATTTCACTATCCCACATACAGTGCAAGAATTTGCTTGAGTGCTGGCATGGAAAAGAGCTCCAACAGTAACCGATACAATGCTTTGACCATTTGCGCTTGGAGAGTCAGTGGACAGCCAAAAAGGCACTATTGTAACACCGAAATAGGATTCATAAATATAAGAACAACACTGTGCATGAACTTTCAAAACCAAATAACTTAGATTATTCCTCTACTCCCCATTACAAAATGGCTGATAATTCATATGTAAAAGCGAAAACAATTCACAAACTAAATACTAGAAAGAAAAAAACAGAGGCAAACTGGATCCACTTCCATAAACTTAATTACATTTAACAATTTATCAGCTTAAATGGCTTTCAAAAGCTCCATAAACTTAATTACATTCAACAATTTGTCAGCTTAAATAACTATCAAAAGCAATGGGGATTTTTCCCAAAACAATTGATGAATTCATCACTCTATACAATAAATTTCCCTGTCAAAAACCACTAAACTGTGCTAAATTGTTTTTGTCTCTAGCCATGCAAAGCCACTGAAATATTGCCAAAAAATGCGATCTAGTCTTTCAAATCACTGAATTTTGGACCCCAAAATAGTCTTTCTGACCTCCCAAAATCCTGAATTATGCCTCAGAGATCATGAAAAGTCTAGATCTCACATAATCAGCATAAGCAGGAACCACCTCCAACATACTCAAAGCAAATTTCAAATCCTCATCTGCAATAGGCATCACCCCATTAAGATCCATAAACTCCATTCCCTCTCCATTCCTTCTCGCTCCTCCCCCATTCTTTCTCGCTCCTCTCAATTCAACTTGAGAACCCATTGTCAACATCTTTGAAGAATGATGAACTTTCAACTTGGCTAGATGCTTCTCTCTGTCAAAATGTTTCCTCATATGGCCACCTAAAGCCTGACCTGAATTGAACCTTTGGTCACACTTAGTGCAAATATGGCTCCCCTGTCTATCCGGCGAGAAATTGGCTGAAATTCTGCTGGTTTTTTGTCTTTTATTGCCAGATTCTTTCAAGAAGGCCACTGAAATCTCAGGCCCAATTCCCAAATATTGAGCATCCTCTTTTGTTACTTCCTCCTCCTCTGAGTTATTAGCTGCAGAGATTCCAATGAAAAGCTTCCTCTTCTTTGCATCATTGCAGTTTGAAATGATTTCACCTTCATGGGGTTTGCCAGAATTAGTAGCTGTCTCCATAGCTCTCACCTCCCTCTTCAACTTCGTCTTCTTCTTCCATTGGTCAGGACTGTACACTGAGGAGCTTTCATGGACGATTTTACTCTTTTCGGGATTCGATTCCAGGCCCTCCTTATCAGTTTCTTGTTTTTCCAAGAAACCCAATTCCTCCAAATTTCTTTGAGATTGAGAGAGCATGGGTAAGTGACGCACAGTTTCTTTCATGCCTTTTGAAACTCCCTCAAATCTCTGTCTCTGCAAATCTTTACTTTCGGAGCTGGTAGTTTTGTTCCTTCTTCTTCTAGATCCAGTGACAGACCAATTCGAGTGGGGAGAGAGAGGATTATGTACTTTCGAGCTCTCTTCTGTTACGGTGCCGTCGGTATGATATGACAAACTTTCTGTCGACTTCATCTGTGCGCCATTACTGGAATTTTTAATCTTCGGCGGCTGAATCCTTCTCGAAACTCTCTTTGGATGGCACCTCATGTGACCAAACAAAGACTTCATCGATGGAAACCGCTTCTTGCACACAGCACACACTGGTTCTTGTTGCTTATGCTTCGTTGTTTCCTCTGTTGTGCTGCTCTTTCCTTCTCCTCTGCAACCTTCCTTTCTCCTCTCTCGTTCATCTTTCAAACCCATCTCATCACTATTAGTTAAACCTGCAAAAACCCAAAACCAAAGAAACTTCGATCTGAGAAAAACCCGTATCAGAGATACTTTGATTACAAAAGAACCCCTATCACAAATACTGTGATTAAGAAATAACGCAGACAAGGAAATATTATTAAAGAACCCATATCATAAAATCCTGATTAAGAAAGAATGCACATAAGGAAAAGATTAGGAAAGAACCCATATAACAAAATCTTGATTAAGAAAATACGCAGCAGAAAAGCAAAAGATTAGGAAAGAACCCATGTAACAAAATGAAAGAACACAGCAGATAAGGAAAAGATTAGAAAATAACACATATAAGAAAATCTTGATTGAGAAAGAAAGCAGTAGATAAAGAAAAGATTAGAACAAACCCATATAATAAAATCTTGATTCAGAAAAAACGCAGCAGATAAGGAAAAGCTTAGAAAAGAATGCATTTCACAAAATCTTGATGCAGAAAGAACCCATATAAGGAAAAGATTCTTGAAAGAAGTAAGCCATATCTGGCTCAAGAACCTGCAAAAACGTACCATAATTGGAATGCTTCGCATGGGTTTTAACGTGAGCTTCTAGAGATCGCTTTGAGCCGAACTTCAGGTTGCAGAACTTGCAGCTATAATGGCCTAAAACTCCAGCGACCTGATCAAATTGAGAAGTAGCTGGTTCGGGGGAGCTGATTTCCCATTGAGAGTCTGTTTTCTTGCCCACCTTGAGCCTGATCGTTAAATTTGGGGTCGATTGGTTTCCATCAATAGAAACTGGTTTGGCCTCAGAGCCAGAGAAATTTGAAAAATCAGAGATGAAGGGTTCCATGGAATCACAGAAGGGAAGATAAGAGAGAGAAACAAAACTAGAATTACGGGGAGAAAGAGAAGAAAAGAGGCAGAGGTACGCACATGAACGAGTAGGAGGTGGAGAAGAAAAACAACAGTAGAGAGAGAAACAATAATTAGAATTAGAGAGAGGAGAAAGAACAAGGAGGAGGTGAAGAAGCGAAAACAATAACTTAAAGAGAAACAAGAATTAGAGAGAGAAACGATAATTATTAGAATGAAAGAGAGAGGGGGAAAGAGAGCTGTTATGCTTCTCTTCAACTGTCAGGATCGATGGCAAGACTTAGAGATAGAAACAAAACGGTTAGAATTTAGAGAGAGAAAGAGACGGAATGAGCGCTTCATGCTTCTCGTCTTCAACTGTCATATCGACGGCCAGGATCCAATTTCCCGTTTCCTTATTTTTCGCACTTAAATTTTGAATTTCCTTTTAATATTCTCTCGACTTAAATCGTTTGTTTCCCGTTAGCTTTTTACTTTTATATTAGAGCAAGTATATTGTGCTCCTTTGGGAGCATACTTTACTTCTATACCCTCAGCTAGATGACCTACTTGGGAGGATTTTTTTTCAATCTGAAAATTGGGTAATCACATTAGAATCACTGGAGATTAATCCCATTTATTTTATATTTGTTTGAAATTTGAGTTTTTTAACACTTAAATCTCACTCTCTAAAAATTGGATCGGCTCTTTTCAATTTTAAGAATTTTTTTTTTTTTTCAAGTGCTTAGAGAGTACATTTAGGACATATTTTTTTATTGAAATTAATCTATTTATTAAAAAAATTATGTTCCCAAATTTTGGGTCCTAAGACTCATCCTAGGTGGGATTTCTTTTTCAAGGAGTAAATACATGGTATGCTCTACTGATGTTCTATATCAAAGAGTAAATGCTTAGTATGCTCCCGAGGGAGTAGAATGCCTTTGGGCTTTTATATTATGGATGAGGTTCGTATAAGGTCGCCATAGAAATATACAAGTATACAAGGCGCACCTCTACAATTTGATTTGAGATGTCGTTTGGATGTCCGAACCTTATTGGCTTGAAAATCTATTTTCACCCATAGTTATAAAACTCAAAATTTCAAAAATAGTGCATATCAGTCATAACAATAAACATTTGAAAATCTTGAAAATAGACGGTCTAGATAATTTGTTATAAGATGTACTATTTTTTGTATTTGGAATTCTTTTTTTCTTTATTTCCACACATCGCGAGGTCGAGATGATTAATTGGAGGGTTCTCAAACATCATAAAACTATATGTCCAGATAACTTATTATAAGATGTTCTATTTTGGATTTGAATTTTTTTTTTTCTTTATTTCCATACATATTGAGGTCGAGATGATATTCTTGAACAATAGAAAACTATCAATTGGAGGTTGCCTCCTTATACTATAGAAATAAGACTCAACCTCTAAAATTTACTTTGAGATGTCGCTTGGGTGTCGGAACCTTATAATGGCTTGAAAATCTATTTTCACACATAGTTATAAAGTTCAGAATTCCAAAAATAGTACAAACCAATCATATCAATAAATACTTGAAAATAGATCGTCTAGATAACTTGTTATAAGATGTAGTATTTTTTGGATTTGGAATTCATTTTTTTTTCCATACTTCTCGATATCAAGATGATCATTGGAGGGTTTTCAAACATTGGAAAACTATACGTCCAGATAACTCGTTATAAGATGCACTATTTTTTGGATTTAGAATTTCTTTTTTTTTCTTTATTTCCATACATCTCGAGGTCGACATGATCAATTGGAGGGTTCTCAAACATAAAAAAACTATCAATTCGAGGTTGCCTCCTTATGAAATGGAAATAAGGCACACGTCAATTAGTAGCATTCAATTAAATCTTGAGACTCATCAAATTTGTGTGATATTTCCGGAATTGCCTCCTGATATTTTCAATAACATTCTAAATGTTTAGTACTCGTAGCATTCAACTATCCTCAAGGAGTACACAATGTCGAGAAAGAGAACGCCTTGCCGGGCCAGGCTGGTCCGGATTTATTTTCAGGCCGGCCCAAAACATGATCCGGGCCTCGGGCCATGCCGGCCTGGGCAGCCCTATCCTCAAGAAGTACACAATGTCATGAAAGTAAACGCCTCCGGCTTCGAGAGCTACGTTAGCAAGCCAAACAACTGTGTAATGGACTCTGAATCTGACAAAAGTACCTTGGCTGCCCCGGGAACAAATGGTACATTTGCAACTTTGGCCAACACTGTGCAGTTGGTCGCCAAAAGCTGAAGTTCACTGTGTCTGAAAGGGCCCTGGCTCCTGGTGCCCAAGGTCCTACAAGCTCAGCAGAACCAAATGTTGTTAATGGTCTCACTATCTTTTTTGGGGCCATCTGCTTCTTGGTGCTAGTTGTGATCAACTGGTTGCCATGGTTATATGGGCAAGAACGAGAGGGACAAGTGATATGATGATGTGATTTATTGGTAGTAAATCCATTGTTTTGTTCCTCCATTATTTGTTTTGGTGGTGGAACATTTAAAGGAAGGTTTGTTAATGAAGATTCTTCTTCTAAATATTAAATGTATTGTGATTTTTTGAGACCTTTTTTGTGAATTTCTTTCATATTTTGTTTGTGATATGGGAGGATGTGGGCTTCTATTTTGGCTTTGTATTTGGCTAAATTTCGTGGGCTTTGGAAATGCAAAAAATCAAGTTTTGGTGTGGAAATGAAAACATGAAAAAGTATGTTTTATTTTCATGATTTTGATTTTCCTGTTTTAAGTATCCTAGTCATTAAGAAAACAAACAATAGATTTTGGCAAAATCCAAGATATTATGAATCCATGCTTTAAAATTCATGTACCCAAACAGGGCCTTAATGAATATGTTGGATGACTTGTATATTGATTTTAAAGTATTCAAATTAATAAAATCAACCAAATTAAATAAATATGAGGCATTCCCATATTATTTAAGCATATAAATATTTATTTGGTCAATATAGAACACAATTTAATAGGGGCTTGAAAGTTGCAGCTAGTCACAACCAAATGTAATACCAAATTAGCTTTATGACATGACTAATAAAAAAAATACTCCATGAAATTAAGTTAGTTCAATTCAATTTGCAAATTTGATTTTGGTCTAGCCCAACTAAGGCTTTGTTTGCCAGCATTCACCAGAAATGCAATGGATGCATAATCACATAGTAAATAGTACATTGGTTTTTTTTTATATGTTAATGGTGGGAATGGAGGTAAGTAAAATGTACCTTAACATTAGCCAGAAGCTCCCACATTTTTTCATAGATCACTTCCTCGGGTGAAACCCTAGAGTATTCATAAGACCCTAAAAATTGGGTATGTGAGCTCCTCAATAAGTAATATTTTCATATGCATTCTCTATGTGTATGAATTAAAGTCATCTTTATAAACATATATTGTCCAACTTTTTGATGGTCATATCTTTTAACAACTTTAAATCTTTTTTTGTGTGTGTATGGGAATACTGATTTGGTGATTTTATTGTGGATCTGAAAAGTAAAATTGTTTCATGCAGGCTGGACTGCATTTCTACATATGCGTTTCAGAAAGTGTAAGGCATGCATCTTAAAGATGGATGCATGTAGGTATTCCATCTAAAAACAATGGAAACTAAGTGTCCAAATGTTTTCTTACTAGAATTATTATTTCTAATTTTTAAAATTTATTTATTTTTTCATAGTCAGATTACATGTACTTAAAAATTAAATCTTATAATCCATCTCAAAAATATATTTATTAAGATGTTTGCATTTCTACATATGTGGACTTGGCCACATAGAAACCGGACCCATCTAAAAATTTTACATTAAAAGATAACCCTAAATAGTTCTTTTACACAACAGCGTAAATGTACTATAGACTCCCTCATGAGCATGGTATACATATTATTAGAATTAAAAGGAACACCCACACCCAAAAGTACATATAATATTTGTGAAACCTTACCAGATTATTGGGTCCAAACAATTAATGATCGAAACCAATCAAAGCCAGTGTTTGACATGTTAACTATATCCCTATTTAATGTTTACCTTTTTAAAATCTAGTCCAACTAGTTTAATAAAAAGTTGAACCGATTTTAGCTAGACCAGACCCATTATTAGTTTATTAGCTTAGTCCAAGTCTGATAACGCACTAACACTGATGCATATGCAAAGGTGATGGAAATGCATGAAAGAAAGACTAATGCGATCTTGTCGAGGGTTTTTTTTTTTTTTCTTATTTTCACCCACTCTCTTTTTTTTTTCTTTTCTTTTGACAAAGATTACTTACAAGTAGTGTTATTGCAATAACTCTTGCTCAAGATCTTAAAAACCTTGATGTCATTAAACCCATTTTTTTTAAACAAAGAAAATATCCACAATTATTATGTTTGATAATATAAAGACAATATAATTAAATCTGACAAGAAACAAAAAGAGAGTGCCAGATATTACTTTAACCGGGTTTATTATACCCCACACCGAGTCACCACCATCCGATGGTATGGGATCAACGATCAACATTCAATCTCAACTGGTAAAGCAAGTTGAGACCATGCCTTCTAATGGAATTATGAACTCCTTTATCACAAATCTCAAACCTTTAGGTAAATCCCTTTAGTAACCTAGTTTAAAAAAAATATTTCTCTTTTCTACCACAACCTTATAGTCTAAAACCCCAATGTGAGCGATCATGAAAGAGTTGAGAGAACCACCATGAGAGATATATCAAAGATGAGAGAGTGGGTCACACCCCTTTGGGTCTCTTGAGAGAGGGAAAAAAAACTTTCTTAAGAGAGAGAGAAATTCTAAGTGGGGTGTGCCCTTTTGTGGGATAAGAGAGAGAGATGAAAATTAGGTGCAAGAGATAAGGTGTAGAGATTTTGGACACAGAAAACCTCTTTTTATAGACTTTGAATAAGATTAAGGTTTCTTAGGGTTTTTCTTGACTTGCATCTTCTTGTGAGATTGAATATGAACCATTGATCTTGATAATGTTTTAAAATGTGGCCGCATCGCCGCATATGCAGCCGCATCATACGAGATGCGCTTGCATCCGCATCGCAAACTAGCGCATATGCACCGCATCAGCCAGCATCATGGCTGCA